TCTCCTGACCTCGTGATTCGCCCGTCTCGGCCTCCCAAAGTGCTGGGATTACAGGCTTGAGCCACCGCGCCCGGCCTTTTCCCATGACTTCTTTACTTACTGCTGTTGTTCAGACCTCTTTCGAAAATTCATAGAAGTGGAACATGCTATACTTATATCAGTGTAGCCTCACTCAAGTCATTTTTTTCTTCTACATAACTTCTATATAACTCAAGTTATTATAAGCAGCTTGAGGGCAAGACCCACGTTTTTCTTCTATGCTGGTAATTAAAATACTAGCAATAATGACATTATGTAGTACCTACTACGTGCCAAGTAATTAATAAATATTATGTATGGACTCATATATTTCTGAGCCTCACCTTATCCCTGGAAAATAGATAACAGTTAACCTTCTGATTAAATATTTATATTTCTGAATTCACCTATGTGTTAAAATTTATTTGTAACATTGAAACTAAAATGCACAGCACCATCATAGCCAACGGTGGACATGCACAAAGTGGTAAAAATTTTGAGTTGGCCAATGTGCATGTTTCTAGCTGAAGTCTAACATGATGATGCCCTGCCTTTTTGTTTTAACCCTTATCTTATAACCAAGTATCCATTTCAGATCTTTTTACTGCCACATGTTTCATACTTTTGGGGCTTTTTTATATTGTTGATTTCGCTGCTTAAAATGAGCCCAGAATGGTGCTGAAGTAGTATCTAGTGATCTTAAGCACAACAAAGGTATGCTATACTTTACATAGAAAATAAGTATGTTAGATAAACCTTCTTTAGGCATGAGATAAAGTGCTGTCGGCTATGAGTCCAATGTTAGTGCATCAACAACATACATTAAATAAGGTGCATTTTAAGTGAAACACACATAAAACAAAGTCATTTTGATTGGTGATGAAAATGTTGTGACCAGATTCTGTTTGCTGTAATGTTATAGACTACACCTATCACAAATAATGAATTGACTATTATCTCTTCTTTATTTCTTTTTTTACAGAAACTAAGAAATAAGGTAGACAAAGATTAAGTAACATGCCTGAAGATACCAAGATAGTTGGACAGGATGAAATTTGATTTTAAATATGTCTGATTAAATTTTATCAAGTCTTAAAGTTTCTGGAGCAAGCAGTGCAAACTCAATCCTCTATTGATAGAGTAAGACTGAGAATGAATTATTTCAGTGGTCAAAAAAAAGTAAACGAACAAGTTCTCTTTTTCTTTTTTTTTCTCTGAATTAGATATTCAGAGCATTTTTCTAATATTTTGTGAAACAATGTAAGTTCCTCAAACATTATTATATTACCTTTAGTTATTCATTTATTGTATCAACAAATATTTGAGTGTCTACATGCTTCAAGTACCAGGGTAAGCCCTAGGGACAAAATAATCTCTCAACAAGCTTAAAAGATATTGCTGAAGGCAGACCTAGCAACAATAATTATGACGTTGTGTATGAAAGTGCTATAGTACGGATGTTTACAAGATTTCAAAAGTCCACAGAAGTAGAAAAAATCTAACCTGCCTGGGATTGGGTGAGAAGACTTTTGAGAACAACAACAACAAAAACGACCTTTAAGCTGGATCTTAAAGAAACATATGTCAGATTAGAAAAGGGAGAGCTACAACACATAGCTTTAATGAATAGTCTTGGAGTTATGGCAGTCCAAAGGTTTGGAAAAGAATATGCTTGAAGGGAAAAGTTTTTGAAATATGTTCTAGTAGATTTCTAAAATAAAATTATTACTGTGGCTTATCATTCCAAAACATATAAGCACATTTTCATTGTATGAGGTTTTTACAGTGTTAACATCTCATAAATCAGGATGGGACTTAAAATGAAAGTCAGATTAGTATTGTCACAGGTATACACACAGCAGTTTTTCTTACTTACAGGGCATAAAATTACGGTGTATATTATAGTTAATATTGTCTAAACCAGGATAAAATATAGTTTTATACTCATATCCAAAGATGGGTACTTTCAGGAAAGAATAAGATTTTAGAGGGAGCTTCACCTTATGACTCAGCGGCTGACCAGGCAAAGCCTCTGCAGCCATCTCTTTAGGGAACAGCTGCATATGCTGCATTCACTTCTCCTCTTAGAGATCTGGTGAGTGACTAGTTGAAAATAGTGATAACGTCATAAATTACTTTCTTTGTTTCTTCTCTTTTACTGATCTATTTCAGTTTTGGCATCAACAATAAATAATGGGTATCATATATATGCTTTGATATGGACTTAATCATAATATGCAACAGCTGCCAAAGAGTTAAATGGCTACATGCAGACAGAGTAATGAATGAAGGGAAACAGCTTTGCTGGTAGTTAACCCATGTTTCTTATGGAAGTAATTGTGCCCATTTTAATGGAATTCGGTGTTGATTTAGTAACGTGATACTTTTGGGATTTAGCCATGCATTTTTCTGTGAAATAAACAGCAGTGATACTTTTTTACTTTGATAAGTTCTAATTATCTTCACTGGATAATCATGATGGAATAAGGAAAAGCTAAACACTTTTTTGGTTTAAGAAAAATGTAGGGGTTATAGATGTTGTTTCTTCTTTTCTCCATTGTCAATGGCAGCAAATTATTGCTCTTAGTAAAAGAGGACATTAACTCCAAGAACTTAAACTGCAGTGGCCCATGTGATTGTAATGCTGTCCTTCAGTAAGGTGAACAATCTGGTAAAAGATTAACTTCACAATTTTATTAATTTCTTAAGGTGAATACACTGTTCTGATTTGTGAAGTTGTCAAGTTTCATGTTAAAGTAATGAAAGAAGACAACTGTACTAACGTTAAAAAATAGATTTGTTGTGAATTCATTTAGGGGATGATAACAATAATAACTTACATAGTTTGAAATTTTCAGGGTAAACATATAATTCTATGGGTTTGTTAGTTAAAATATTTACATAAATCTCTCACATCCTGAATTACTATTATCGAACAGAGATAGATAATATAAAAACAAATACAAGAACAAAGTTTCTTAGTGGTATTTAGAAACCCTGCTGAATTAAATTTTTCATGAAGAAGTTTCCCCCATAGGCCAAAAAATAAGTTACCTTTTAGAAATAATAATGATAATTAAAAACAGGAGTCATTTTAACCAAAGGACCTCATGTGTTGGGAGGAATCAGAAAGACTTATCAGAGTTGAGCTAGAATTATGACAGGCAGATATGGAAGAGGAAGGAATTTAAGATGAGGAGGGCATTCCAGATGCTCCAAAAGACACCAGTAAAGTTAACGACATAGGAAAATGCAGCTGACATTTGTGAGGCGATGACGAGGACACCAATGGGCTTAGGACTTTGTGTATACTTCCTTTGATGAAGTGGGATGGAAAGAGAGAAACCTATTTCTGACTACACTAAAATGAAACAAGATAACTAGCCAAATTGCTCTATTTAATCAAACCAGCTAACGTCCATGACTAAGCAACTGGTTAATAGAATTGTTCATTGAATTTATGCACACAAATAAGTAGCTCAGTCAAAATATGTTCTAAATATAATCTGGTCATCTTAATTTCTTGAACTTCCACACATAAAAATTTTGAAGCCCTACACTTCTGAGAGTTAGAGATTCTTTCATAGAGTACTTTGCCTAATGTTTCAACTGTGAATAGAGTTTATGAGAATTTTTTTGAAATCACAACCTGCATTTTCTGTCAAAGACTTTAAATGCTATTTTTAATGTACATATTAATAGAAGCATTTCAGAACTACAGGGAAAAGTACTTGGTTATTTTATTAACATTTAAAACTTAGGAAAAAGCCTGTTTCACATTTGTAAGAGAAAAAGCATCTTTGAAATGCTCAAATGATAATAATCTTCCCATCCACTCCAGGAAATGTACTTTTACAATTACAATTTTAAATACGGACAATGGGGATATAATATAGAATTCAGCGCCAATAATTCTCATAGCAGTTTCTTTCAGCAGTATATGCATATGATTTTAGCAATATATGTACCCCTATACAAATTAGGGTGTCAGTATTATTTATGAATGATTCCACAATTCCAAAAGCCTTCTTTTCCTCTTTCCCTCAGTAGCTAATTAAAACAAAACAAAACAAAACAAAAAAATCCTGTATTTTCCAAGTGAAATACAAATAAACTTACAAATTTAGAGTAGGCTGAAGGAATACAATACCTAATCTGGGAGTTTTGCCAAATCTTTATTTTAATGAACTTTATGCAGAGATACAGTAAGAACATTATGCTGAAAATGCAGAAATCAACTCAACATTCTTTGTAGGAGGACCTTTTAATCTACACCATAAAAAGAGTTAATCTGAAATGCAAACTGTAGTTGCATTAAAGATGCTTTGCTTGCCATTCAATAAGCTTTGTTTTAATGGCAAAGGCAATACTGACATTGGGTGAGTACTTAAACTTTATTGTGGAAATAAATGACATTGTTCTAAAAGTCTTCCAAGACAAGAAAAACATGCATGAGATGTTACTGAATTTCTTATTTTCTTAGCTAGAACAATTTTCTATTTGCCTTATATTTTTAGGGAATAGTTTGATAAAATTAAATATGTTTTCCCCCCACTAATAGCAAAATCCTAAACAATCTTTCAACTATCTTTTTTGCATGTTATAGTTAATGTATTTTCATTATGCTTAATGCACTTTTAATAGTCTCCTATGGCAAGATGGTATATTAAATGTGGGAATAAAAGATCCATGATACCACCTTGAATTTTCTACAATGCCTTTTATCTGGGGGCTCAAAGCACTTCACGCATGTTCTCATTCAGTATCTCCTTGAGGTGTAATATATGCATTTTATGGGCGAGGACACTGAGGTGGAGAATGACTGAGGGAATTGAGGTCATTTCCAGAGCTCACACTAAGCACAACCTGGATGAGCATTCTCTCCCTTCAGCCTGCCTCCAAGATGGCTGCACTGGCTTCATGGGACCAAACACTGATTGCATCTCCACTAGCCTTTTCCTTCATGAACTTGTCTCCCTTACCTGGACACCATCAGATGCAGGGATGTAACTTGCCCTTTTAAATGTGTCTGTCACATTTCTCAGGATCTCCACAGACATCAGAAGATCGCCTGCATAGAAATTTTTTCTCTGAGTTAAATCCAATAGTGTCTTGGTCACCTGGGACATTCCATCACCTGCCAGCATTCGCTGTCCCTTAGCAAGGTGCTCTTTAATCTGTGATGGTCAAAAGAACAGAGCAAACATCAGAATCTTCATTACCATTTATCTGAATAACTTCATCAAACAACTTTATTTAAAATTGCTCGGTCAACTTAAAATAGCCTTGCAATGCTTGGGAGGATTTGAAAACTGTAAATTGTGTGTATCCCAAACTCAGATGGATAAACATCCAGCATGCAAGAATTAATGAGTGTATACTTTTCGTCAGGCTTGACAAACTTGCCATTTCTAGTTAGAACACACAATTCAACACATTCGGGAAAATGTGTATTAATTTAGGTTCTTAATTGGAGTAAAAATCAAAAATACTTTAGCATGTGGTAAACATGGGGGACTGTTTAGTAAGGTGTGATCAGAGATGGGAGATTATAAACACTTCAAAAATAGCCATTTTTACTTACAAGCTGAGCTTATTAACTTTTGCCTTGCCTCTTAAAATGAACAGATTATAGAGCAGCAAAGAAAGTTATTAGCAGTACAATTTTACTTAAAATATCTTTAAACTTTGGAGATTTACTATGACATGATAGAAAACCAGATTGCTTTAGCTTTATTAAAAAAAACCAAAAACCAAAAAACAAAAAACAGCAAAAACAATTAAACTCTCTGCTGGGTCTTCAGCAACAGAATGAACTATTAAAATGCAAAACTTAAACTAGTTTGATGGCCAGAGAAATGTGCTGCCAATTCTCACATTTGCTTGTTGTATAGTTCAAGGGAGGAAAAATATCTTAAAATGAGAAAGAATAGTAAGGTAAGAGAGGGTAAAGAAAGAGCAAGAATCCATTATACTTTTACTTGTTTACTGAAAGTTTAATCTGTACCTTTTTTTTGCTAAATTTGTTATAAAATTAGCTAAAAAAATCATGAAATAATAATGAACAGGCCAGAGAAACGTTAAAGTACATTAATTGTAATTATCAATTTCCCATCAAGAACTGTGCCAACAAATCTTTTAAAGTAGGGCAATCAATCTGAACTAATCAAAAAAGTATAAATTTTCTAAGTATTATATTTCAAAAAGTGTTGAAATCTCAGATATTTTCCTTTTCTTTTTCTGTAAAGATGTCTAAAATAATTTTGGTAAAATAAAATTTTCAGAGACATACTTTATTTCCATTGTGTTATGCTAAAAGTCATAACATATTTAGGTACTTTACTTTTCCCTATTTTCTTCTTTCATTTCCTTTCATCTCTCTTTGGTAGCTGCCATCAACCATGGACTAAAACCCAAATGATTGACACGGCATCAGTAATCCAGCTCTTGCCTATCTCTATAGTGTCAATGCTAATTGCTTGGTAATGGAGTGGTATTCACGTATTTATTCATGAAAGAGACACAGCACTGGCCAGTAAGAAGGACATGAACCCTCAAAGTAGAAGCCAGCTGGTTTCTACTTTGTACCAGGCTGTACCACCAGGCTGAACTCCAGTCCTGCTTCTAAACTACTGGTAATTATTTGTAATTTTCTGTTCAGGTCGTGTGTTTCATGACTTCAGATTTTTGCAATAGATATCCTACCCTCTTTTCTTCCATGGTCTCTTGTTTAAAAACCACTCATATTTAGTTCTTGTTCTTCTAAATAACTAAACAGTTAATCAAAGCCTTCTCTTGTTATCTCTTAAACAGACATGACTTTTATCACAGAGAATGGTAATTATTTGCTTAAATATTTTTCTGTCCCAATAGTCTTTCTGACACTTGAGGGTAGGCTCCCTGCCTTATTCACAGTCTTAGCAAACAGCATAGCAAAATTTTGTTGCAGTGAATTCAGTTGTTATGCCCTAAGTACACCTTTGTGGTGCAATACAATGGAATGGACTTTAGAGCCAGGGGTGCCTAGGTTTGTGTTTCAACTTTGCAGCTTATTATTCATGTAATTGAGTTCATTGGAGACTCAGTTTACCATGTCTCCTCTAAGATTTGAAAAATGGGTCTATATATTAAAAATGTTTTAAAAGTCATTTTCTTAACACAATTAAACCCATACAAGCCTAAGATAATTAGCAGAAGCTAGAGCATACAGGAAAGCATATTGCTCTCCCACGGTCTGTGTGCCCTACATGCTCTAGTTCCTGTGGACTTCTTCCCCCTTCCCCGGCATTTGCTGTGCTTTAGTGGCACTTGTCTTTTTGTTCTTCCTCAATAACATTAGGTACATGCATATCTCAGGGCCCTTGTCTTGCTTTTTTTTTTTTTTTTTTTTTTTTTGCGGGAGTGGGGTCGGGGCGAGTGTGGGTGGTGGGGACCTTGAATAGTCTTTCCACAAGCATTCATATGCTTTTTGTCACCTTCTCAGAAAGGTCTTACCTGACTTCCTACCTAAAATGGAATCCTTGTCATTCTCAGTCATCTCGTCAGACTTCATCGTGCTCAACCTTACCTGCCATTGTGCCATCTATGTCTTGGTTTATTCATTTTTCTTCCTGTGCCATTAAGATATTAATGTAAGCCTTCTGAAGGAGGAGGTTTTGTTTATTATTTTATTCCCATTATCTAGAAGTTTATTCAATATACTGAATGAATGAGTTAAAGGAATGAATGGGTTAATGAATCAACATCCATCTATGCTTACATTGTTAGGTCATAGGATTAAGTTAGGCACACTTGAAAGACGTAACTCACTCATGGACATAGTCCATAGGAAACACTAGTAACAAATAGCATGAGACAAACACACTACATAACTTAAAGAGGTAGTGCTGCTTTTGAGCTGAAAAATGTCTGGTGCTTTAGCTGCACTTGTCCTTTTGCTCTTTCTCAATGACATTAGGTACAGGCATGTCTCAGGATATACATGAAGTATGAGGAAGGTTTTGAAGAGAAATGAAGCTAATAGAGTCTAACCTAAAAAAAGTCATAAAATTCAGTCCTCAGTTTTGTGCTGGCAATGCAAATCACAGCTGTGATACTCAAAGCTGCAGAAGATTAAATTGTTCTCCATTAGGAATAGAATGTAGCAATGGTTGCCACGGTAAATAATTAATGTCTGACTGCCTCAAATCGGCCCTTTCTCTATTATTTTGGCAACCCATACCTGTGCCTGTGAGGGATTTAACCTGTACAGATCTAATGTATGCTTCTCCTCAAACAAAAACATCACAACATAGAATTGAATCTTGAGAAATAAAACATTTAGACATGCTTTCTGTTTGCATTAAAAATAGTTATAGAAGGCACTGGATGGCTCAACTAATATGAAAGCCAGTCTGTCACGTCTAGGTCAGCATCAAATCTGGCCCAAGTCAGTAGTAAATTAACGTCATTGCCATCTGACAGCTGCTTAGAAGGCTTATGTAGAATGAGTTGTTGTCAGTCCAGCTCTTAGCAAACAGGTGCCCAGATGACAACACCAGCTCTAACAATTGACACTGATTAGCATCCTTCCTGGCATTGTCAGTGAAAAGCACTCGGGACAAATACCTTGTAATATTTTCACACACTGGTGAGACTATTCATTGCCTTTATACAGGGTATAAAGAATGTTTGAATAAGATACGTTTCTGTCCAGAATGTATTTAGTTGAAAGACAATTTCCTAGTTCTTGATCTTCTATCCGCAACACATACATACTGTGAAGAGCTCTCTCTCTCTCTCTTTTTTTTTTTTTTTTCCTTATGTCTACCCTTTCACCACCTATTGCCTAGAATGACATGTCCAAGTTTATCTGCTAGATTGTTTTCCATTTTTTCTTTCTGGATTATGAAGTTGAGAATCAATGGGTTTGCTCATCTTACCTCTTCTCTGTTTCAAACTGTCCTTTATTTGCATTCTACTTCTCCTCCTTTGTTGTTGTCTCTATGGTTTAATTATATGGTTATTCCTAAGATTTTGAATCCCATCCAATCCCTTCTTCAATATTTCTCTCTCAAAAAAAAAAAATGGCCTGATATCATATATCTTATTTAAATACCAACTACTCTTATTGCTACTTCCTTTCAACTACTGTCTTCTCCCTAGTTCTCTTCAAAATCAATATCAGAGGTACAAAATTTTGTTTGAGCCCAACAACCTTTTAAGTTGTAAATTAAAATTTCCAGTTACCTACAAAGTATGCTTTCTGGAAATCTTGCTAGTATGTCATGTTTATGCAGCAGTTGTAATCATAAAATCTAGATTTAAATTGTGGTTCTACTACATATTACAAAGAACCATTGGAAAAATTATTTAACTCTCTCCTAGGATGATTTATATGTAAAAAGGAGAAAATAATCACATTGTTATTATGATGGGTTAATATAAAAATAGAGGTTAAAGGTGGACATTCAGTGACTGTTTCTTTTTCTCCCAAATTCAAGATCCAGTTTCTCTAAATACTAGCTTATGCAGTGTTTCTCTTCTCCCTCCTTTTCCTATAGACACGAGATGGATCCTGGTATAGGTCTTCAGTACTTAACTTCCAGAAGGTTAATTCTTTCTTCAACTGAATCTAATTGGCTATTTATTCTATTCATTAATTTCAATGACAATATTTCACTTACAGAAGTTCTGTTTAAAGTTTTTCATATTCTTTAATTATTTAACTGTGATTTCTGTTCGTTCACATCTTAATGATTTTAAACAATATATTATAGTTTTAAAAATATTTTCTATTGTTTTAAATTTCTTGTTTTGCTAAGTCTCTTGATTCCTGCATTTGCTGATTCTTCCTCATAATGTTTTGCTTTGTGATATTTATAATTATTGTAAACTTATATTCAGTGGGATATATTTATCTTTTGGGAGCCCCAAGTGCCTGGTTGGTGAAACAGTTGTTAGAGATGCTTTTGAGTACATTTCTCTGGGAGTGGAACCTTCAGGCAGTTCATTGGTCCTGAATCAATTTATGCAAATTTTCATGTTAATTCCATCTGTTCTTGGTTCAGACTAGGAGTTTCCATTTCTGAAAGGCAATTTATTTCCTCTTCTCCAAGAAACTCTGTATGAATTACAAATTTCTTAGACATATTGCAGGCCTGAGAATGCATAAGGTTTTTCTACTTCATGAGGCTAG